AAAATAATATATTTTTAAATTATATATAATAAAATAATATATTCTTAAAATTAATATATTTTTAATATATAAAAAAAATAAATAAAAGCTTTTTAAAAAAATAATATACTTTTAATAAATTATATATAAATGCTTTATTAATAATATATAAAAATAAAATATATATTTTTTAATAATATAAAAAATAATATATTTTTAAAAATATATAAAAATAAAATAATATATTTTTAAATTATATATAATAAAATAATATATTCTTAAAATTAATATATTTTTAATATATAAAAAAAATAAATAAAAGCTTTTTAAAAAAATAATATACTTTTAATAAATTATATATAAATGCTTTATTAATAATATATAAAAATAAAATATATATTTTTTAATAATATAAAAAATAATATATTTTTAAAAATATATAAAAATAAAATAATATATTTTTAAATTATATATAATAAAATAATATATTCTTAAAATTAATATATTTTTAATATATAAAAATAATATATTTTTAATAATATATGTTTTATTTTTTAATTAAAAAATAAATAAAAGTAAGTTTTCAATTTTTTATTTTAATTTTATTTTTTAAAATAATATATTTTTAATAATATTTAAAAATAAAAATTAATATATTTTTAATAATATATATTTTTTATATTTTTCAATAATATATTTTTAAAAGTAATATATTTTTAATATATAAAGAATAATATATTTTTAATAATATATAAAAATAAATAATATATTTTTAAATTATATATAAATGCTTTTTTTAGTTTTATTTTTCTATAAGTATTTATATCTAATTAAAAAAAATAAAAGTAAGTTTTTAATTTTTGTTTTTGAATTTTATTTTTTAAAATAATTTTATTTAATATATTTTAATCATGATTTATGATATATATTATATATCTATTTTTTATTATTATTTGTTAATTTTATTTTTTGAAAAATTGATTCCTACACACATGGGAATGAAAAAACCTTCCATTTACTGTGGAATGGCTAATCCCATGGAGATAGGTTTTGCCATTCCCATTGGATTGGTCACTCATTTTCAAAAAATATACCAATCATGGGATAAAGAATGAGTAAGGAGTAAGGAGTAAGGGAATGATCATTTCATTCTCATGTCATTCCTTCCTACTAATCATGCCAAGTCTATAAAATTGAACAATTTATGAGAAGTAAATTTCCACTTCGGTCTTGTACGAAAATAAAAACAGACACAAAACAGAAATTAGATGATGTTTTTTATTGCTTTTCTATTTTATTTTTTTTTCATATTCACATTTATTTATTTTATTGAAGGTCATGTGGCCACATATTAAAAAGAAATTTCGGTGTTATTGATATTTTAGTTTATTTTTTTTAATTCTTTTTTTTTTTTAGGATTAAACGAATAAAATTTATCTTTTAGAATTCAATATAATATATTGTGTAATGCTCCATCAATTATAAATAGACATTTATTTAACAATGGAGTCCCTATAATTTGTGAAAGCTAAAACGCAAATGCTGTTAGCCTCTTAGTGAGGGTAGTTGACTTGAAGAAGTATAGAGACTATAATGTTTTGATAAGCATATCTAACTCTCTTTTATAGGAAGATGTTACGTTGTTGGTCAATACTGTCAGCGTGAGCTGCCCGAACAACCCATTCGTACTACCCGAAGTGTCTGAACTGCTCAATTCTGTTAGGCCACATCAGGGGCGGATCCTGAATTTTTTTTTTTGGGAGGACTATATATTTTTTAATAAACTTAAATTTAATTTAATGTACATAAAAAATATAGAAAGTTGTATTATAAAATCATACATAATAATGGTGCAATATAAATTATAAAGTTTTAAACTTTGACATTAACAAATTTACATTGAACGCTCTCTCAACTCATGAATTTCTTTAATGATTGACTCCATACTAATAGTTTGATATATATTTTTTCCATAGGCTATGTTTGGTAGTCAAATAAGTTAGCTTATAGCTTCTTTGTTTAACTTATAAGCTTCCTGTATTCAAATAAGCATTGTTTGGTAGGACGAGCTTTTTAAAGAAGTATTTAGTACAATAATTCGTTAAAAAAATCAATTTATGAAGTATATATGATTTTTGTTATTCATTTGAAATTAAAATTTTTACTTTGAGAATTTATTTTATTATTAATATAATATTCAAAGTATGTAAAAAATGTATTATTCATTATATTCATATAATAACAGTTATTAATATATAGCAAATTGTACATTTATATTGTTCTTTTTTATTGAACTATAAAAATTCAGCCAATAAAAATTAATATAATAATTTAATTATAATGTGTTACATATTATTAAATAATTTTTATTTTAATTGCAATTTCTATATATAATATATTTTTTTGGTAGTCTGTGCATGTGCACAAGGTTAATACTAGTAATTAACTAATGGAGCAGGGACGGCTCTTTGGGGAGGCAACCTAGGCCCATGCCTAGGGCCTCCATTTATCCCCCCCCCCCCCCTTTTGTTTTTTTAATATTATGTATTTTTGTTGGGTTTAGCCTATTTTCACAAATGAAGGGTTAATGGCTAAATATGGATTTGGCCCCTTACATAAATGGAGGAGCTAATGGCAAAATATGTATTTTGTGTGGGAATTTGAGACCCTTAAATATTTCATTTGTTTTCTTATGATGTTCTGTTATAACAAGTTGTGTGAGAATAAATGTTCTTTCCAGTGATATGGTTTTTATTTTCTTCTCCTTGTTTTCGTGACTGCTTGAATGTAATTTATTAACGATATTTGTAACGTAGAGGTAATTTATCAATTTCAAGGTCTAGAAAAACAAGAAAAATCTTTTTTCTTCAATTATTAATTAATTAATTTATTTAATAGTTTTGTTTAATTATGTTTTTTTCTTCTATAATTCTATTTGCAAACAGCCCTAATTACCACGCAAGTTCAAATCGAGAACTTGGAAAAGGAAAAACTTGTAATTGAGGATGTAGTTTTACCATGTTTTATTAAATTTGGGTCAAGACCAATATAGTCTATAATAATTAACTAATTGAGGATATAGTTTTACCATGTTTTATTCTTAATAAAGCACCTAAAATATTCTATGTTATTCTTGAAAAATACATCTTAATTGAAAGAAATGAACAAAATAACTAAAAAATTTTTATGATATTTGTTGACATCCGAGTTGAAAACTGAAAAAATAACCATGTTTGAGGGTCCATTAATCTATAGAAAACGAGATCCCAGGTCGAACCCTGTCTGGCACTCGGAGCTCAAAAATCACAAACTGGTATCCTGACCACAACGCGTCAGAAGAGTCAGAGGAATATAATAATGCTACGTACCAAATGCAGAAGCTCAGGTCGGACTCCTTCTCAATATCTAAGTCGACTCCCCAGAAATGAGACCTGAATCGAAGATGCAAATATGTTGTCGTTGGTGATCCAACCTCAGAGCATCAAAGCGGTCGGAGTTCACGACACGCATAAAGAAGAAATATTATTAAAATTCCAATTGCAGCCCTATTACCATTAGGCCTCTTATGGTAGCATGTCCACTTTAATGCTTGTCATTCAACATTAAATTGATGTGACCCAGATGAACTGTAACCGAACATATCTTACTATAAATAGTCCTAGAAATTCTCTCTGTAACAAGACGAAAATTTTCTCATTTAATACCGCATCTAAGGCGAAGTCCGACCTCAATGGCCAAAGAGTCCGATCTGGTGAACATCTGTTTTTACGCAAATCATTTGTTCTAATAATCCGATTTTTACAGTTTTTAACCTCTTTTAAATCCCACTAAATTTTACGACCTCCTATTTTCTTTAAATGTCATTTTAGCTTTATCAACCATTAACCAAATAAATGACGTTCTGGATCTTTAGTACATATTTTTTCATTATTACCCCTATTTAGCTAATAATTACACTATGTCTTTTCATATTCACTCTTCATCTCTTCTCAACACATCCATCTCTATCTTCATTAATGAGGGTTATTATTGACAAAAAAATATTTTTAATTATTGTGCAACTTCTCAAAACGACACTTGTTAAAAATAGGAGGGAGTATAATTTTAGTTGATCAAATCCATTTATCAAAAGGCCATTTTTGCCTTCAAAGAGACGGGCGAACAATCTTGGAACTATTACTGTGCGGTCCGACCGCCCCTTTTGTCGGAACATGAGGATAAGGCTTACGAGTTTGGCCCAGGCAATGGGCGAAATCTGGCTGAAGCCGACCCCAACCTCGTGAACAATCTATATGAAGGAGGGTGATGATTAAGCTGCAAGGAACATGTTCTTCATCTTCTATTTGCTGCTGTGTTGATTCCATTCAAATTGCCAAGATGCTCAATTAGAAGAGGGAGGCAGGCTGTGAAGTGATGTCCATTGTGGCTTATATTCTTCTGGTTGTTGAAACTTTTGTTGATTGTTCTTTCTCTTTTGATAAGTTTGCTTGCTCTAGTTCTTTTTCTTTAGCCTTGGAGACTTTCCAGAGGGACCAGTATTATTGGTCTCTCGTTGCTTGTAGTGGCCTAGTGGCTCTATTTGTGAAGGTTGCTGGTTGGCTTGGATCCAGTTGGGTGCACATTGTATGAACTTCTATTTTTGAATTTTATTTATTTGCTTGTTTTTTGTAGGAGAAAAAAAAAAACAGAAAAGTATACTACGGACTTAAAATTACAGCATAAGAGCAGCTCCAATGCTGCGCTACTCTAGCGCAATACGCTAGAGTAGAGATAAAATTGCTCTCCAACGTTGCGCTACATTTCTATACTACTCTAGAGTTATGAACAGTATCGCGTTACATCTGGCGCGGTACTATTCATTACTCTACAATTTTTATTTTATTTTTTATTTTTTTTATATTATATGTAATTAATTTATCTTAAACATTGTATGAAAATATTATATTTAAAAATTTTATATTCATATTGAATTCCTATAAAATAAATCAAATAATATAAAATAATAGTAATTATTTGTCCAACAATATTTTAATCTTGTAGTAGACCAACTAACATTGTGATATATTTCTTTTATAAAATAATATGTTCAATTAAATAATATTTAACATGGTAGATAAATTAAAATAATATGAATAATATATATGTGGAGTAGAATGTAGCGCGAACGGTTGGAAACCAAAATTGTAGATATCTATGTTTTTTTTTCCAAATCGACAATTATATTATAAAACTAGAAAACTCAAAAGAGTACAAAGGGGAGTGCCAACTGACACTACGGAATCAGAAAACTTGGACCTACCCCTTGGAACAACACAAGTGTCCAAAGGTATAATCTCCAACATGGAGACGAAAAACACCACCAAAAACTCCAAAAATGAGATAAAATTCCACAAGGGAAACTAAATGCCAGACGCCGCCGGACTAACGAAACAAAACACAATAAAATTGAAAAACCACACACCCCTAATATACAAACTAGAATAAAGCCCTCCTCACTACCAACCACAAATCCTAAAGAATCGACAACCGACGATAACCCACAAGAAAAACAAAATCAAGCCCGACTCTAGATGTATGTAACAAAGCAATATTTTGCATACTTTGATATCTCATCAATTGCCATCCTTTTTCTCTCTCTCTCTCTACAATTTGAAAAATCCCCAATTCTCATCGGCCGTGACCTAGACTTCGTCTTCTTGAGATGAGCCTCCCCTCCGGCGGACACAGTTAAAGCGCGATTGGCCAGCATCGGACTCGGACCAGGTTTGTCGGCACGGGCTGGGTTGTCGCTCGCCTCTTCCTCCCCGTAACGGTTCCGCTCTTGTTCCGAAGCGCCATGGCGGGCGAGCTCAAGGCGGGGTCTCCAGTTGCGGTGGCCGGCGGGTACTGTGAGCGTCCATGGAGGCTTGTGGTGGTGGTCCGGCCTTGGTCTGCTCCTCTCCCGATCTCCTCTGGTGTTGGGTAGGTCGGGACCTCTGGCGGCGGTGGCTGGTTGTACATCGGCCCCGGAGTATGCGTGGGGGGGCTGTGGTAGTGGACTGACCTGGATTGAGTTGCGAGTCCGGGAGGAGGCTTCAGATGGGGACCGGTGTGGCCGTGGGGCTCCCTCCAGGAAGGTCGCGTATCGATGTTTGGTTAGGTCGTGGTGGTGCTGTGTTGAGTGTCCGGTGGGGAGGGCGTCGTTTTCTCTCGTGTTAGCCTTGTTGTTGTTTTGTTTGTGTTCTAGCTTTTGTTGTTTGTTTATGTTTGTTGTGTGTTGTATTGTGATTGTTTGTGGTAGGTTTGGTTCTCCCAGTTGGGAGCTTCTCCTCTTGTGGGAGTTTCCCTCTCCCCTTGTGGGAGTTTCCCTCTCCTCTTGTGGGAGTTCCTTCTCCTCCAGTGGGAGTTTGGTGTGTTCTTGTGTTGTGTTTTGTTGTTGTGTAGGTAGGTTCTAGACTACACTTTGTGTGATTCTCCCTCCTAGTTTCAGCTAATTGGCTGGTTTCTCAGCGGATTCGCTGGTTCTAGTTTGTATCTGTGTGTTTTTCAATAAAATCTATCGTTTGAGAAAAAAAAAAAGCAATATTTTGCATAAATAATGTAAAAACAATCATAAATCCAGCGAGGCGTCCCATGTTAATACAGCGAAGGCGACAGGGCCGTGAGACATCCGTCAAGACCCAAAATGCTATCTGTTTGTTTCTGGTTTCCCTTTTCATTAAAAAAAAGGAAAATAATAATTACGAAATTATTGCTCATACTAAGTGCTACTATATTCTGCTTTTAACGCGCGCGCACACTCTCTATCGTGCTCGACTCGACGACAATCGCTTCTCGACAAGAGAAGCACTGCTTAGGCTCCGCAGCTTTACACACACTGCACACTCATCTGTGTGCGTTCCCTTATTTTCAGCATTTTTTTTTTTGTTGTTCCCTTGTGTGTGTTTTATTTTATCCTCTGCTTGCTACCTGCAGTTATTTCTTTCATTTGTTCTTTTGTTAAAGTTTCGATTTCACCTTTTTTGCAGCCAAGATCGTCTCTTTTGGAATTTTCTCCTTGTACAATTCCCAGATCTCTCCTTACTTCAGCCCTTTTTTCCGTCTTCAAGCGAAATCTGAACTCGAATTAATANAAAAATGTTCCTCTGAATTTACTCACTCGCACTCAACCACACAATCGAACTCACGCCAAATACCTCTTCTCTTTGGCATTTCCGACGAATTCCTCTAAAGAAAAAGTAATTCGTGTCTTAGGAATCAGGAAAATGGCCGGGCTGTGCAATTTGGTGTGGTTTGGTTTTGTTGTATTGTTATGGGCAAAATCTGGCAATTGCGAGTGGGAAACTTGCTCGGGCATTGTGCGGATGAAGTACAGATACGATAAGATATCAATAGCCGATTTTGGAGGCGTTGGGGACGGCGTGACTCTCAACACCAAGGCATTCAGGGCGGCGATTTACAGAATAGAGCATTTGAGGCGGCGAGGTGGGACCCTCCTCTACATTCCTCCCGGAGAATATTTGACCGGTCCCTTCAATCTCACCAGCCGGATGACTCTTTACTTGGCTAGAGGCGCCACCATCAAGGCCACAATGGTACCAAACCATTTAATTTCATTATTAATTACTTGTCTTAATTTACTTATTATTATTATTTTGATAAGGTATTGATGAATCTTTATGTGGTTTGAAGTGAGTGAAGTTCTTGTTAATTAATTATTACAAATTTGGCCTCCTTGTTTATTGGGCTCAAGCATGGTCTAAAGTTTGATAGGTGTAACTATTGGTCAACTATACTTCTTAATAAATATGTATACTAGCGTAAATAAAGGTACGATGTTTCACATTCAAGTTTGTATATTTGTTCCAAGAGAGTTTTTTTTTTTTTTTTTTNGCATAACCATAACATGTTACATTTGTGGGCCGAGGGGGCCTAGTTGGTGGGCTCAATTGCATGTGCAGCTCATTTAAATAATTGTGACTATGGATATTAATGTGCAGTCTGCCAGCTATTTATTATTGTCACTACCATCATATTCACATTCACTCCTTTGCCTGCCGAGTGACAGGGAAAATGGACACAAAGTCATGAGACTGTGATTTATCGTATTTGCAAAATGAAAATGAAAAACTAATGAAATGATAATTTGCAATATGCTACAATGTACATTGGCTAAACTGTCCTTGTGTGACTAAGTTTGGCTGAAATTGCAACGGAAGAAAGAAAGAAAAAGGTGAGAATGCCAACAATATTAGGGAACAGTATTTTTGTTTGAATAACACGAGCACGTTTGATTTAGGACTTATAAATAGTTTTGGGTATGCTTTAGGAGACTACGCAGTGGCCCTTAATAGCACCATTGCCATCTTACGGAAGAGGAAGAGAACGGCCGGGAGGAAGGTACATGAGCTTTATCCATGGGGATGGGCTACATGATGTCATAATCACAGGTAAGTATGGGTTAGTTATCTCGTGAGATTAAGATATAATTAAGGGACTACAAAGTTCATAAGGCAGACAGACTTGCAGTTATTTTGCCTTCCTAATTTGCCTTGTTCTAAGTGGTTCCTT